TCTTTATGCATCCATTTATATTTCTTGTGAACTGCCACTTTTCCAATTGCTCCATAAAGTTTTTGTTATTAAAAATACACTGGGGCTTCAGTCCACACTGTGTAATCTCAGGTAAACTGATGCCGAGCACCAGAACTTTAAGCCAGTGCTACCACCACGTCACAGTGCCTATTTTAATGTTTCTGCATGGTGCTCATGCTCTCTATGTGGGCTTGGAGCTAAGAGTAAGAACCAGAATACAATATAGTATTTGCAACCTGAGCCACATGCTCCCCTGTTCTTTCAGGCGAGAGACAAAGGGGTGCAGGAGGCTGCTATTCTCCTTCTGTGGACCCTCCAGACTAGTCTTTTTCCTGTGGGGTGTCCATCACCTTCTCCCATTTCTGTTCACCCGCATGTATGTTTGTGGAGAAAAATTGCCTTAGGTCAATCCTTTGCCTGTTTATAGAAATGGGGCAGTATTTCCAATCATGCTCCTCCTGAATGCTAGCAAAACTGCTCTTAATTATTTGCTTGTCCATTACCATCTTGTTTGGCTCCTCTTTGGGTCACTCCTGAAGTACTCATTTATGAACTTCTATTGAGGGCTATTTTTTTGTACCCAGCTCCTATATATAGTCAGTGGATAGAGAGGAGTTCCTCAGCCATAGACTTGGGCAAGTCCCTGTCCATCCCAGCTCTGAAACTTTCAGTTATAGCCTGTTACTGAGTAGTTGTGATGATGAACCAAATAAAGGTGGCAAATCCCATTTGATGTATACATAAGAAATGGCAGTAAGGCTAACACGCCTCTGTGTAATAACCCTTTAAAAAGCTTCTGTAAGGTTCTTCATGAGAATGCCTTGCTGGGACAGATTAAGGTTGATCCAGTTCAGCACTGTGACTTTATAATGACCAGGAAGATGACATGGGAAACATCAGTAACTGCTATTTTCTCTTCTCCCCCACCACCCCCTGCATCCAGAAGTCAGAGAAATACTGCCATTGATCATAGAGGCTTGCCATCACTATTAACCATTCAAAGAATTATATTCCCATAATTTTTCTATTCCTTTATTTTAAAAACCCAACATAAGCTGGTGGTTGTCGCCCTACACTGCTATAATAGCTTTCACAAGTTAATTTTTATGTTGTGTGAAGAGCTACCTTGGGTGGTTTTCTTATCACCTTTGGAGTTGATTGGGTAGATTCTGACATCTAGTGTGGTGCAAGAAAGTAAGGGGGAGGGGGCAGATAAGTTATCCGTTCCCTTTACAGCAGTTATAATCTTAAATACCTCTATCATATTACTCTTTACTCATCTTTCTTTTTCTTGTTTTCCTCTAAACTAACCTAAATGTGAAGACTGCCCCCTCAGAAAATCAGTGTGCAGTATTTATGTATTTTATTTAGTTCATAAAATTTATACACGGCTTGATTGTAAAAAAGTGGTTTACAAAAAATTAAACAATAAAATTATCACTAAGAATAATGTTTGTGGTTTTCCCCTTTCTTACATTAGATTACCTTGACAATGGCAATAATAAAATGGCAATCCAGCAGGCAGACAAGTTGCTGAAGAAACACAAAGACCTTCACTGTGCTAAGGTAAGCTCAGGGTTTGTTTGTTTTAACATGCTAAAAAGTCAGTGTGTTCAGTCTTAAATAAACAAGGCAAGGCTCTTCTCTTTAGCTGTTGCATTGCTAGTATAGGGTGGGGAACTTGAAGTCCTAAGAATTGAAGACAGCCCTCTAGATCTCTCTGTCTCACACTTAGGACTCTCCCAGGGCCATATCCCTCATTGGCACTGCTCTGTGCCTTCCTCAGGTGCTTTTGCCTGACTGGAACATGTCCTTGAACTGTGATAATGCCTCTTGGTTGTCTGTAGAAAGCTTTGACTTCTGCATGGCAGGAATGTAGTGTGAACGATGCAAAAGTAAGAGTCAAATCCATTGCTCCACCCATTTTTGTATCTGGCCCCACCCACTTTTAAATCTGGCATGTGGCTCCTGGAAGGTTGCCCATGTGGGAACGTGACATATGGACTGAAGGAGGTTCTGAACCCTGGGCTGTTCTGGAAAAGAGGGATGCTTTCTGCCATGTTTACCCTTAGCTATCATGGGACACATGGAGGTGGGAGCGTGATCGTGCTTTGACCACCACCAGTGCACAACTACTTATCCTTTTTCAGCTTAACCCGTGTTACTCCAGCCTTCTGTTCCACAAATTCACAACAATGAGGTCAACTTTGCTGCCATGTTAGTCAAGCTGTTGAATAGCAACAGAGCAAAAGTTAATGTTTTTTCAACTTTTGCTTCTATCTACATTGACGTGGCTCAGCAAAACAAGGCAATTAGGGTTGGTCAGTTGACCAAGTCAAACATACTTAAATACTGTCACATGGTAGCTATAAGACTAATTACAAGAGGGGTGAGGAACCTTTGGCTTGCAGGTGACATCTGGCACAGAACAGGTCCCAGTGCTTCCCCCACACACTTGGTGTCAGATATGGGGCATGTGTGGAAATGGCTGGATTGGTTGCCTGGCCAAATTCCCCATGGGGAACTTGATCATGCAGCCAATCTCTGCAGAAAGCAGCTTTGCCTGCCGTATGTGCGGCACTGAGGAAGTGGCAAGCATAGGGTTGACAAAGCCCCTTGCGCTGTGGTTCTCGAGTGACTGACAGCCAGCTTGGAAGCGCTGCACAAGGGAATTTTGACAGGTGGGTAATTTGTGGCCTGTGTGGGTGGAGAATGATAAGGCTCTGACCCACTGGGCCAAGAAGGTTTTCCCACCCCTACAATCTAGAGAAGTCTGGGGCAGGCATACCTGGTGGGCTGCGTGTTAGAATTGGCTGGCAGTAGTGGCTGTACTATGGACAACATGGCTGGGCGGGGCCCCTGCTAGGTATTGGGCACTATCTGCCAACTGATGCCCCTCCAAACACCTGGAAGAATAAGATGGTTTTAATTCTCTGGAAGGGAAAACATCAAAGTCTCCACCTTCCAAACTTTCAGGAGAAGGGAATTCCAGGGACACAGGTTTTAAGTGCACCTTGTTAAATGCGGTATCCCCTTCCTACCCAGCTGCCCTTGGGCAGCTAATTAACATGAGGCTTGCTCAGTGTGCTCTTTCTATGAGATCTGAAACGGTAGGTATGTTGTGACCCCAACTTTTTATTACAGTGTTGGCTAGTGATGTGTCTCAAAGTCTGAGCTTACTTAGATTTCTAAGTCTTCTGTTAAGTTAACCAGATGTCCAGTGAACTAAGGCTGGGGTGAGGAACCTGTGATCCTCCAGAGGTTGCTGGAACACACCTCCCATCTCTTTGACTGTTGGCCATACTGGCTGGGTGCGTTGGGAGTTGGAGTCCCAACAACATTTGGAGGGTCACGGGCTCTTCATCCCTGAACTAAGGTTGGCAGGAGGTGCAGAAGAGAACATAAGAAGTTGCATTATATATAATAAGACCATTGGTTCATCTATCTCAATATTATCTACACTGAGTGGCAGCAGCTGTTCAGCGCTTCAACCAGGCTTTTCCCAAGCCTACCTGGAGACATCAGAGGTTGAATCTCAGGCCACTTGAATTCAGAGCATGTGCTCTGCCCGTGGGCTGCAGCTCCTTCCTTTGGTATGTGCTGCATTGTTGCCACCTGCCCATTCTTCCCCATTCACTGTGCAGCTGGATTCCCCCCCCCCCCAGTGCTTCCTTCATATCGCTGCTGGAAAACCCTTTAAAAGTTGCTTCTTTGATCCATGTGCAGGTTTTGAAAGCAATCGGCCTGCAAAGAACCGGGAAGCAAGATGAAGCATTCACTTTAGCACAAGAAGTAGCTGCTCTTGAACCCACGGACGATAATTCGTTACAAGCTCTGACTATTCTATACCGGGAAATGCATCGGCGTGAGTTCTTTGGTTTTCCTTCCTATTTCAGACATTTCAGAGAATGCTGTTGCCAGTGTCCTGCTTACAACAGCAGTCCTGATTCAAAAGCACTAGTGTGGCAGCCAGTCGGCAGCTAATTGATGGGGAGGGGTGGTGAGGTAGCCAGTTAAGCTGCATTGTTCTCTAGACATAATGTTTCCCATAGTATTTAATTCTGGGTTGTAGAAAACAGGAGGAGTGATGGGACAGGGTCCAGCTTTGATGGTGGAGCCCTGGCAAGCTCACCTAACAGTAGACTCAGCACCAGATTGCTGGGTCTTGCTGCCATTTTAATACTTTTACAATGCTTCAGACGTAGTGTCACTCCAGGAGAAATTGGAGTGCAGCTAAACCAAGCAGCTTAGAGTGCTGGGTCAGTGGTTTTTGTTTTGTAAGGGGGGGGGCAAGGCAGATATTGGGGCCCCAGCAGCTTCCCATGGGAGCAAAGTGCTGACACCAGCCCTAGGGAGAGGATAAAGGTACTCAACACACATTCTGTGACAAAAGGCATGCAGAATGCAAGTCTGGAAAAATCACAAGTGCTGGCCACACAGGTCCCAACAAATCTGAAGTCCCGTCCCCCCGCCCCCTTTACTAGGGCTGAAGCCTCATTTTTAAAAAAACTTTGTGAAGGCTGTTTTGAGTTCTGTACTCTGTACAATCACTTAGGGTTTGGGAGAAGTCTATAGGTCCTAACCAAACACACAACCTGTTTCTTAAAATGTCTCATTTAGCGGAGCTGGTCACAAAACTCTACGAGGCAGCTGTGAAGAAAGTTCCCAGCAGTGAAGAGTATCATTCCCACCTCTTCATGGCCTATGCAAGGGTTGGGGAATACAAGAAGATGCAACAGGTAATTTACCTGAATCGGAGCTAGGTCAATTGAGCTTGAGAGTGAATACACCCCTCAGAGAGGCAACTCAACCTAAAATCAGCCTAAAGATCTGTTGACATTCCATGTGTATATGTAAACCTATTAGTAATCTGTTGTGGATAAAGTCTCGTATAGTATATAAGTTGTGTTTACATAGAATTGTAGAGTTGGAAGGGACCACGAGGGTCATCTAGTCCAACCCGCTGCAATGCAGGAATCTTTTGCCCAATGTGGGACTCAAACCCACAACCCTGAGCTTAAAAGTCTCATGCTCTACCAACTGGCCATGTCTTCTACTCATAGTAAACACTTACTCTGAAACCTTTTTGAAAATTTGACGACTTTGGTTTAAAATACTTGTGATTTGAGGTGCCTTTAAGTGCTTTGCATTTGCATTTAACCTGTAATGTTTAAAAAATGTGTAAAGAGACAGTGTCGTTAATGTGACGGACCCATGAAATTAATTTATGGACCTAGTCTAGCAAATCCTTTATCTTGTGAGTAGCACTACTTAAAAGCATCAGCTTGCTATGTGCATTGATAACAGATGCATTCATATCAATATATGCACACTTAAAGGGTATAATCATCTTGTAATATCAGGCTTTGCAAATGTGCAAAATGCAAGTTAGCAGAGGTCCCTGTTGACTTTAGTGTATCCGCACCTGACTATGAGAGTGAGGGGGTGAAGAGAGAAACACCTATATGATGATCTAGCTATGTGTTGAGTGCCATTATCAGCAAAATTGAATCCAGAATTCGTTTTTGTGGGGAAGCTGTTGTTCAGGAAACTTGTCTTCTCATTAAGGAACTCCTGAAATACTGCCAGTTTACTTGGAACATATTTTGATGGGTTCTGGTTTGTGAAAAGGAACAGTTTCCTGTTGTGGTTAACAGGTTTGAGCAAACGAGTCTTGCATTTAACACTGGTACAAGAATTCAAAGACAAGTAAATTAGTCCATGGATAGTCAAACCGAAACCATTCCTCTCTCAGGTGTTTCTAGTAAGAACTTTCATTGGGTCTCCTTTACCACAGGCTGAAGTATAATGATTTATTTATACCTCCTTTTTCAGGCTGGAATGGCACTTTATAAGATCGTTCCCAAAAACCCTTACTATTTTTGGTCTGTGATGAGCTTAATTATGCAGGTGGGTACAGAGTCTCAAGGGAGATAACATTTCCTTGGAAATAATCTGCCCTTTTTTTGTTTTATTTTCTGTGTGAAGATGCTCAGTACATTTTGAGGGTAGACTCTGTACTGCAAGTGCATCACACATTGTCAGTACAGTGGTACCTCGGGTTACATATGCTTCAGGTTACAGACTCCGCTAAACCAGAAATAGTACCTCGGGTTAAGAACTTTGCTTCAGGATGAGAACAGAAATCGTGCTCTGGCGGCGTGGCAGCAGCAGGAGGCCCCATTAGCTAAAGTGGTGCTTCAGGTTAAGAACAGTTTCAGGTTAAGAACGGACCTCCAGAATGGATTAAGTACTTAACTCGAGGTACCACTGCATACTGCAAGTGTTGTAAAACAGAGTAGCCAATGTGGTGCACTCCAGATGTTGTTTTACTCCCAACTCCCATAGCCACTGGCCATGCTGGCTGAGACTGATGGGAGGCCCCAAAACATCTGGAGGGCACTACACTGGCTACCCTTATCACAGAGCTTGTTTGCAGGTTGGGACTGGGAGTTTGTCATCTTAGATGGGGCATGTTGTGAGATAAACAGAGAATTCGAGAAGTCTTAACCAGATGCCCTTCAATACTCCCTCAGGTCATAGATGGATCACTCCTCCACTCCAAGTATGATTGTAGCAACTGAATATAATCTGTTCTCCCAGGGTATGAGAGGGATTGAGATGAGCTCATAGCCCGCCTCTCTGCCTCTCTCACTTCAGTCTATAATTGTTCTCCTAAATGAGTTCTGAGATTGTTACTTGAGATTGACTATTGGTGTAAATCTGGAGTTCAGCCAAGCAATAGCCTATCAAAGGCCATTGGCAGAATTCTTTTGCAGTCTGTCTGAAATCAACAAGAGAACTGGCACACTGCATTACTAGTTCATTTCAACTACCGTATTTTTCGCTCTAGAAGACACACCCGACCATAAGACGCACCTAGTTTTAGAGGAGGAGAACAAGAAAAAAAAAATTCTCTCCCTCTTTGCGCAGCGCCCCTTCAGCGAAGTGGCAGGAGAAACGGAGCCCCTTCCATTTCTCCTCCCGCTTTGCTGAAGGGGCGCTGCGCAGAGAGGGAAAGCTGCACAGCACCTCTCCAGCGAAGCGAAGCCAGGAGAGCAAGAGGGATCGATCCCTCTTGCTCTCCTTGCTTCAGCAAAAGCAACACGAAGCCTCCGGAGCACAGCAGGAGCATTCCTGCTGCGCTCCAGAGGCTTTGCGTTGCTTTCGCTAAAGCCATGGAGCCTGCATTCACTCCATAAGACACACACACATTTCCCCTTACTTTTTAGGAGGGGAAAAGTGTGTCCTATAGAGCGAAAAATACGGTAACTTGGCAATTCATTTTCTTCATTTTTTGTGTGATGCAATCCCAGAACATAATCAACACTATTTCCTTGTGGGTGAGAGGAGCATGTTTACTGAGCAGAACTTTCAACTAATTTTTCCTAAGTTTGCCAGAATGTTCACTTGTTTATCGGAACATTCACAGCAGCTGAAAACTTTTGACAGCCCATAGTTGAGAGGACAGAGCATATGTTTCGCCCCCATAGAGTCATCCGTTCAGCCTCTGTTATCTCCAGTAGCTGAGCTAGGAAAGAATGGTTGCCAGTCAGAGTGGAAAGTACCATGCTAGATGAAACAGTGGTCGATTCTGTATAAGGCAGCTCTATATGTTCTTCTTTTTCAGTCTATATCTGCACAGGATGAAAATCTCTCAAAAACCATGTTTTTGCCTCTAGCTGAAAGAATGGTAGAAAAAATGGTGAAGGAAGAAAAAATTGAAGCTGAGGCAGAAGTAAGATATATATTTTTTAAAAACTAATTGTTGATGTAATTAATTCAGCTTCTGCTATCACTGAATTATTACAGCTTGGTTTTGAATAGTTTATTTTGCATGTTACAAGCAAATGGAAGGTGTGGCTTAGAAGAGGCACATTGCTAAGGTAGAAATTAAGGGGTACTTGAACATGCCCCATATTTGGATTAATCCTTCTCCAAACTTGATGGGATTGCACTCTTTTGGTTACAGCCCTGTCAGGGAACTGCCATCGGAAGGCAGGGAGGTGAAAGGACTCAGACAGGTTGGAAGAGACTCAGCAGCTGAAGAGGGAACCAGCAAGGGGAGAGAAGCTGAACTGAGGGAGGTGAAAGGGCTCAGACAGGTTGGACGAGACTCAGCAGCTGAAGAGGAAACCAGCAGGGGGAGAGAAGCTGAACTGAGGGACAGGGAGCTGGGGGAAGGCTCAGAGATACTTCCAGCGAAAACAGTGGTGAGGTTTCCGGACCTCCTGTAGGGACACCCACTCCTCGCCGGAAACTGTCACGCAGAGAGTCCAGAAGACGTGTTTCCGTTAAGGAGCTTTTATGTTGGAAGCGATTACGAAAGCAACCACTGTCGGAATCTTCTAGTGACTAGAGGAGCCATGTCAGAGGGGCTCAGTCACAGACAGAGGTTTGTGGACTTGAACAAACTCTGAGGGAATACGATTTTACGCACAAGCAGCTCATCTTCCCATCACAGCATTCCGACAGTCTTTGAACGCAGCTTGTGCAGGAGAAGGCATAATGAGCAACCCAGCAGGAACCGGAGAAGCAGGGGCTGGAGCGGGTCCAAGCCTGGAAGAAAGGTACCGGGTGTTGGAGGTCCAGCTGGCGCTGCAGACGGCGAGGCTGGAGGAGAGGAGGGCTCAAGATGCAGACAACAGGGAGAAAGCCACCCAGCTCGCCAGAAAGGTACCAGGATTGGTGCAGAAATTTGGGGGGGAGCCCAAAGACTATCATAGCTTTCGGACAGAAATGCAATATGCCCTCAATCTGCAGTTTGATGATTTCCCTGATGAGGAATCACGAGTGGCTTTTGTGATTGGGCATCTTGAAAAGGGGGCGAGAGACTGGGTTAGACCCCTGATGGCAGCGCATAGTGACGTCCTAAAGGACACGATGAAGTTCTTTCGCGCCATGGATCTGATGTTTTCCAGCGATATTGAAAAGGGAGTGGTGCGCAGACAGTTAATGGCTTGCAAACAGGGGAGCCGATCTGTACGTGAGTACTGGACTGAGTTCACCATGCTGATACACAGATTGGGGTGGGACTTATCGGCGGAACCCATTCAAATGCTCTTTGAAGAAGGGCTTTCTTCGGCTGTGAAAGATGAACTTTCCCGGGCGCCCAGGGCGGAGTCTATGGACCAGCTGACCAAATCAGCGCTGGCCATAGGAGCGCGCCAGGAGGCGAGAGCATTGGAGAGGCGGGAAGGGAAAGGGGAACGTTGGAAGGAGTTCCGCATTCCAGACATTCCAGAGCCAACTTTCCCGCCGGCAGAGCCGATGGAAATCGGAACAGCGCGCGCGCGCAGTTTCAAAGCCCAGTGAGGGTGGAAAGAAGGAGGGAAAAGGCGCCCGGAAATGCTATCTCTGCCAACAGCCAGGGCACTTTGCCAGAGTCTGCCCCCAGAGGAAGGAATGGCAAGGGATGGTGGGAGCTGTGGAGGGAAGAGAGGAAAAATACCGGAGCAACTAAAAGCCAACGCCTGGCTGCCATTGTCGGGGCACAGCAGCCAGGCCAAAGAGCAGTGAAAGTGCCCACGCCAGAACCTCCTAAACCCGCCCTAGTGATAGAAGTGACACTAGAGCTGCCAAACGGACACCCTCTAAAGATAAAGGCGCTGTTGGACTCAGGCAGCTCCTGCAATTTCATGAGCAAAGAGTTTGCAGCTGAACACCAGATACAGACGCTCCCTTTAAGCAACCCCCTGCAGGTAACCACGATCGATGGCAGGGAGCTGTTGGGAGGAGAAGTCAGCTTGCAGACCGTCCCAATGATAATGAAGGTGGCAAGGCACATCGAACTAATAGCGTTTAATGTGGCCACCTTGGGAGGAGCTCCCATTATATTGGGGATGAGCTGGCTAGCGTTACATGATCCGCTGGTGGGCTGGCATCAAAGAGTGGTTTCTTTTGGGTCAGCACATTGCTTAGAACACTGCAAAGAGGGAAAGGTTTTGGCAGGGGCCCAAGCCACCCTAGCAGGGACTGAAGTAACGGAGAACGTGAAGGTACCACGACAATACGCAGATCTCCGCGACGTCTTCAGCGAAAGGGAAGCTGATCAAC